TTGGTACCTTTAATCATTGGTAGTTCCTTTGTGTTTTCTAAAGTATGAAATGTTCTTCAATCAATTAAATCTCTATGAAATGTCATTAGGTCTCTGCTAAAGAAACAATGAATGAGTTAATGACATACGCGAAAGCAGGACAAATCGTTCAAGAAGTGTTTAGTTCACTGAGAACTGTTCTTTCACTCAATGGTAGCAAATTTGAGCAGAAACGGTAAACAAATATATACAAATAATTTACCGATTGGATATCATAAAACATGTTGTTTTATGGATTGTATTTAGATATAAAAGAGAATTGGATTCTACCCGTTGGAGTAGTATACGACAAGGTGCAATGTTTGGGGTTTTTACTGGAGTATTAACACTAATAACTTACCTAGTTTATTCAGTTGGTTTTTTCTTTGGTTCTCTTTTCATGTCAGACAGAGCTCATCATAGTTCGGATATTAGTGATATTCTTGTTGTCAGTAATTCATATAATCAATTATTATGTATATGAATAAAAGACTACTATCTTAATATAGGTCGTCTTCCTCTTTGCAGATTGCTTGTGTTTCTTCAGTTTCATTGGCCCTTTTTTTCAATCAATTTCAGAAGCTCAAGGTGCAGCAGCAGCGGTCTTTCGACTTATTGATGAGGTAAATCCAAGTAAATTGAGATTTAATATAGATGGTAATGTTTTCTATTTGTTTAAATGATATAGAGAAATGATCCAAGTATCAATGAAGCAGATGTATGGAAAGATGATACAGAATCAATTTATAATATCAATGGTGATATTCAATTTGACAATGTCGACTTTATTTATCCATCTCGAAAAGAAGCACCAGTTCTGCATAATCTCTCTCTTATTGCTCGTGCTGGTCAGACAACTGCTCTTGTAGGTTTAAGTGGCTGTGGTAAGTCTTTTCCAAAAAAAAAAAATACAAATGTTCAAATGATCTCATTTCTGTTGATTAATTATTTATAGGAAAAAGTACATGTATGACATTGTTTCTTCGTTATTATGAACCTTCATCGGGTCAAATAACGATCGATGGTCGACCAATAACAGACTACAATGTCAAACAACTTCGAGAAAACATTGGAGTTGTTAGTCAAGAACCCGTAAGCTTCACTTTCCTTTTTCTTTTTTCGTTTTTCTATTTAATTTACTATTCTAATAGATTTTATTTGATATGAATATTTATGAAAATATTCGTTTTGGTAAACTAAATGCAACACAAGAAGAAATTGAACAAGCAGCACGAGAAGCTAATGCACATCATTTCATCATGCAATTACCAGATGTTTGGGACAAATATTGATTTTTATCTTTATCTATATATATATGTATATATGTATCATAATTTCTTGTTTAGAAATATAAAACACTCGTTGGTGAACGTGGTGTACAGTTGAGTGGTGGTGAAAAACAACGTAT